CAAAAGCAAAGTCCAACCAGGTCCTGTCTCTGCTGGTGGCCATCAGGAGATGCTGCAATGAGATCAGGGCAAGGGTGTTGTGACCTACCACTGGGGTGTTTTCCCAACCTCCAACAGGGCTCAGGGTATGGTTTAGGTGGGATACACTAATTCTGGCTTGAAATTCAGGTCTGTGCTCCTGAAATGCTTGGAAAATAATTGTTTTGGAGCTACTGAAGGGCTAAAACAAGTTGAGAATAGGAGTCTTCAAATATGGATGGGACAGCGAGTGGTGAAACAGATTTTGCACACTGCTGTTTCTGTGTCAAGGCCTTTGTGGAAGTAATAATGAGGTGGTGCTTAATGGAAATGTTAATCATGAACCTGTCATGGCAAGAAATGATTAGCACTAATTGCTCTGGGTGGTGTTGCTGAGCTGTGGCCAATACACCTTCTTGCTTTTTGAGGGACACTTGTGTTCTAGCACTGACAACATACTTGTCTGGTCTGGGTAAGCTCTAAACTGCTTTTCCCAGAAGGTCTTGATCCTTCTCAATGCTGTGCCCCTGCAAGATCCACCTCCTCAAACCAGAACAGCAGTGGGTGCAAGACCTCCACCCCCCAAATTAAGGAGTTTCTGATAGGTTTCACTGTATTCCATTGCACACTCAAATTTCACTCACACCTTTTTGCCTCAAAACTCCAGGCAGAAGTGCCCTGCATGTTAGGTTGTACCCCAAATGGCCAGGGGAGACCATGAAGAGGGGTAGAAGAGAAGAAAGACTTCCCTTGGTGGGAGGTGCTGGAGGATGTGGGTCCTTGGGAAACCATCACTGAAGGACAGGGCAATGCACCACTGAAAAGAGCTGTGTCCAAGAGGGGCTGGATGCCTTCCCTGAGAGTCATAAGGGGCCAAGGTCTCTGTGTTTTGGCTTGGGGACTCTGGGGAATGGGGAGTGGTGTGAGCAGCTGGGAGCAGTAACTCAGATCATCATCATGGACCTTTAATGACATCAGGATTTATCCTCTACAGCATTTTCCTAAGGTTATGGGGTCCAGCAAGATGTCAGATGATACAGGGCAATTAGATGCAGGACTGTCCTTCTCCCCAGCCCAGGAGGATCTGGACCTGGGTCTGTACTGGTCCCATCACCACCCTCCAGCTCCTTAGACATATTGATCTCCCCGAACACATTCATGATAGCTCAAGTGTCACAGATTCCTTGGGGTACTGTGACCATATAGGCTTCTGACCAGCACAAGGTATAGGAGCATCTCAGAGCCATCCAGGGACAACAGAGTGGGCTACAAACCACAGCTGTGGGCCAGCACCATGCTAAGGCCAGGAGGGCAGCGGGGTACAGCTGGAAATACAATGAGTCTATCACCCTGAGCTCTTCAGTTCCAGCATAAGCTGAATTTCCATGCTTCCCAGTGCCATAGGGAAACAACTGTAGTGACACATTGAGGTTTGTGAGCCCACCAGCACATACCAACAGCCTCAAGCAAATTGGGAGGACACTTCTAGTGCATCACTCTTTAGAGTGGGAGAGAAAACCAGACTTTGCAGTAGGTGCCAAAATGGTCTGTATTGAGCCTATTGTAGAATCCTGGAATGGTTTGGGTTGGAAGGACTTTAAAGTTCTTCTCATTCCAACCTGCTGCCATGAGCAGGGACACCTTCCACTAGCCCAGGTTGCTCCAAGCCCCATCTAAATTGGCCTTGAACATTTCCAGGGATGGGGCAGCCACTACTTCTCTGGGCAATCAGTGCCAGTGCCTCACCACCCTTACAGGAAACAATTTCTTCCCAATATCCAATTAATCCTGCCCTCTGGCACCTTCAAACCACTCCTTGCTGAAGTTACATGTGGGAGTTTAAATGAAAACCAAAAGCAAAACAAATCAACTTGAGCTCTGAGTGTTTTGAAGCTACAGCTCCCAAGAAACCCTCAGTGCTGGTGTTTGCTTTCCTTAGGAGAATATTCCTTTTATATCATAAGGATAAATCAGCAAAAAGGTCACTGTGGTTGCCTGGTCCTGGAATGACCCATGATGCTTTAGTTAGGAGAATATTCCCACGAGGAAACCTCCTTTCTGCTTTGCTTCACTTCAAGAGGAGCAGAGCACAGGACTGACATTCCCTCTCATGCTCTGCCCTGACTGTCCTCTGCTCCTTTCCCCAGGTTGATTTTGGCTTTGCAAAGAAAATAGGATTTGGAAAGAAAACATGGACTTTTTGTGGAACCCCAGAGTATGTAGCCCCTGAGATCATCCTGAACAAAGGTCATGACATTTCAGCAGACTACTGGTCACTGGGAATCCTAATGTATGAGCTCCTGACTGGCAGGTATGGGCATTGGGGCCGGCGCTGCCGTGGAAAACAGATCCAAGTGTTTCTACCGTTGTCACCCTGATTAGGCCAGGGGCAGGTGCAGAGCTGCCACGTGCTCTACTGGCACAGCCAGTGTTGGGCAACCTCACCATTAGCTTGGCCTCTTTAAATCAGTTATTTTTGGCCCTTGATGAGCAGAACATGATGGGGTAAGGAAAGGGTTTGACTCAGCTGAGGAGGTAGACTGAGAACCATGAGGGCTTGAGTCCCTATATCCATCCCTTCCCTGATTTAGCTTTAGTATTACTGATGATGTTGGCAGTAGTGGCTTCCTAGATCTTCATCTCATACTCCACTGCGCACTCCCAGAATACAGGAACTGGGGAAGGATCCATCACCTCAACTGCTTATCCTTCAGGGCCAGACCCAACCCCTGCTCAGCAGAAACCAAATTAGTCCCCACTGAAATCATGTCACATAGTGGATTAAGTACCATAGTATCATAGTAGGTTAAGGGGTTGGAATGGACTTTAGAAATCATCTAGCCCCAACCCCCTGCCCTGGGCAGGGACATCTCCCACCAGATCAGGTTGCTCAAGGCTTTAGCCAGCCTGGCTTTGAACACTGCCAGGGTTGGGGCAGCCACAGCCTCCCTGGGCAACCTGTGCTAGTGTCTCACCACCCTCACAGGGAAAACTTCTTCCAAATATCTGATCCAAATTTCCCTCTTTCAATTTATACCATTGCCCCCTGTCCTATCACTGCAGTTCCTAACAAAGAGTCCCTCCCCAGCTTCCCTGGAGCCCCTTCATATATTAGAAAGTTGCTATGAGGTCTCCACACAATCTTCTCTTCTTCAGGCTGAACAGCCCCAACTTTCTCAGCCTATCAAACAAAGAATAAGGCAGCAAAGAATCAAAAAATAAGGCAATGAGCATTGTTCAGAGCCTCATTCCTCAAACTGTTGGGACATGGACTGCCATGGAAAGCAGAGGTTTAGCATGTGCTGCTCTGGAAACCTTTTCACCTTGGTACTAGCCTGTGCCAGCATCCCTGAAATCCAGGCAGTACCAGTGCTCCTGGTACATTTTTCCTGGCTGAGAAATGGTTAAGATCGTAGGAAGTGAAGTGTTTACTCATCTGGATATATTTTATCAGTCTTCAATGCTACTTTAAAGACAAGTTTTTAATCTCCTTTCTTTTCCTGTCCCCTCTGCAGTCCACCTTTCTCAGGCCCAGACCCCATGAAGACCTATAACATCATATTAAGGGGAATAGACATGATTGAATTTCCAAAGAAGATTGCCAAAAATGCTGCTAACTTAATTAAAAAACTATGCAGGTAAGTGGATGAAATATAATCACTTTGATGTTGTTTGCACAGAAATTAGCTATTCAGAAGGATTAAGGAAGTAATTTGTTATTCCTTTTACAGGGACAATCCATCAGAAAGATTAGGGAACTTGAAAAATGGTGTGAAAGATATCCAAAAGCACAAGTAAGTGTCTTCTCCACCAACCCACAGAAAGAGGCATTTCAAACACCTCAGTTTGCTGCTAAACCCCACTTTCTTTCTATCTATAATGTAAATTCATCATCCCTTTTTGTTTGGAGTCCTTAAGTGATGTCTTAGGAGTTTTCACACTGTTAGAATGGGACTAGAACAAGTTGGAGACCTATTGCAGAAACAAATTGTCTCATCCATCGATGCTGGACCTTCTCCTCTCCCATCCCCAAAGCAACAGGAACGGATTGGATGGACATTTAGTGTGGGCAGCTTGAAGGCTCAGCTCAGGGCTCATCCACCCTCCTGGAGCAAACCTGAGGTGATCAAGGCAGGGGTGGGACATCCCTGAGCATGAAGTAGGGAGCTAAGTCAATTTCATATGGAAAAGGGACATTGTGGGTCTCGTATGGGAGGGATCAACCTGTGGATCTCTGGGAAAGAAAAGAGGACACCTGCAGCAAGGAAGGGTTCTCTTCTGAGTGTTAGGAATTGGCACTTGCCATGGGATCACCACTGGTTTGATCACACACTTCCTTTTTGGTGCCAAAAATCATACAAGGATGACAGGAAATTACTGAATGCTAATGAGGGTATGTGAAGACAATGTCTGTGGGAGATGAAACCTCCTGTTTGAGCAATTTACATTTCTTTTTGTGCTACATATGTCTAACTGTTGGATTATTCCCTCCCTTTAGATGGTTTGAAGGCTTTAACTGGGAAGGGTTACGAAAAGGGACACTGACACCTCCTATAATACCAAGTGTAAGTTTTCCTATTACTGTTTTCTCCTTCACGGCCAGTAAGTTGCCTCAGGAATGTTGTGAGATTCAGGCACTAGTGCACTGGGGTTAAGTGGGAACAGCATGTGCTTTATTTCTTCTAAAGATGCCTGAAGAAGTCACATTGGAGACATTCCCAGATAAGCTGGAGCTCCAGGCAGGCTCTTCAATGAGAAGGTAGTTTGAGGAGGTCATGGCCACAACAAAATGCG